CCCCCTAATTAAAAAGAGCTTCGGTCAACTCAGGCTAATTTGATAACTGCCTTAATTTGTGAAAGTAGCTTTAATTTGTTTCTATTTTGCAACTGATTTCCTACCCAGAATTTCGGTCTTCATTTAACAGTATTCCAAGGTTATTTATTTTTATTTTCTCTATTAAAATATAAATATCTTAGGCACCAGAAGGCAATTATTTTCAAAATTTTGATTTCTCCAGAGAGGTTCTAACTTCAAAGTCAAGGAATGAGGTTGTAACTTTAAATTAAGTCAGTTTGTAGCTTTAAATTCATAATTTTTATAAGAGTATCTAATAAATTTAATAATAAATAATACTCCAAGTATATTTTCTATGCATAGGTTAAGGGCTCAGAAAGTTTCGTTCTAATATACCATGACTTATCAAATCACTTATAAAAAAGGAGAATCTAGTCATATAGAGAACTGGTTTTGAATAAGTAATTTTAATTAATTATTAAGAATTAAGATAATATATTAATATAATTAATAAAGTAGAATCTAGTCTTATAGAAAATTGATTTTGAATAAGTAATTTAAATTAATTATAAAGAATTAAATTAATTAACCTAACTTGGTAAAGTATCAACTGGAAATTATTTCAGTATAAAAATATACAACAAATTTAAATTTTATTATTAAATAATAATATTATAAAATTCATATTATATATATATATATAAATATATTAAATAAGTAATATAATTATTCAATATATTTGTCATACTATTATTTATATATATGTACTTAAGTACATGTATATAAATATATACTTTTATCACATACACTTAACTTTATGGTGGCACCAGGAGGAGCTATGCGTTCACGAGAGGAGATGTTGTTTAGGGAGTTAAAGTCCCTCACTGACTTTTGATGGCTTTTAATGCTTTAACTTCTCGTAAAGAAAAAATCACTCACACATATCCACTAATGTCTACTGTAGACAGTGCATTCAGGTAGGTGCAAATATCTATTATTTAGACTATGTGCCGTCTGTCAAAGTCATTTAAGAATTATTCTACACTCTTCATGCAGAAGAAAGTCGTCCCCTGTATTACTCAATGAAAAGAACATTAATTGTGGAAGTATAGACAATAAATTGCATGTTTGTTTATATGTCACACACACGCACACACACACACACTCGCATTCGTAGAAGCACGTCTATCTATGCGTAACTAAGTATCTCTGAATGGAAGAAACGTGTTGACAATGGGACGTGTGTCAATAAACAATCAATTTTTCACCTGACCGTCAGGTCAAGAATTTTTCCTCATTTCTTATATAAATGTTATGGTTTCTTTTCTTAGTCTTCAGTTATACTTTGATACTTTGATATATTATTTGATACTTAATATCAAGTATCTTGATTTCAATTTCGTAGTAAAGAAATTAATCTCATACTCTCCTCGTTTCACCTCGGCACTGTTATTTTCATCAAATATTTTGTTTTGGTATACTTCAATATTCTTAGTTTTTTTTTAATATTAATATTATTTTCTATTTAATGCTTTGTTTTATTATTTCCAATTTGATTTGGAGATTTCAGTTCAATTTGTCATATGCAAACACAAGTGTTTTTCCTCCGCCAATAATTGAATTTTTTCAAAATACTTTGCTCCGTAGCTCTCAGCATATAACTTCACAATGTATGACAATGTATGCGTATATATCGCGTATATATATTCACAAACACATGTACTGCTATATCTTTCGATATATTTCATATTGTTTTAATTGCTTTTTTACAGAACATTAACATGACTTGTACCATTTAATGTTAGTTACGATAAAATTGAGTAAAATCGCATTTAAACTATAACTGATTTGAAAAAAATTATCTCTAAAATATTTTAGATAATCTTTACTAAGCAAATATTCTAATAGTTCTGTACCAATCGCCGAGATATACGACAAAAGGTTTAGCATTTATACAGACCACTTTGAAATCTTTTATCCATAGTTTTGAGAAATTTAAAATATTTATATTATCGACGATAAGCAACAACTGGAAATGAATTCGTAATGCTTAAACCTCTTCACATTTAATTTTATATACTATATTTATGATTACTTTATAAAGTAATGGTAAACTATTCCCTAAAGTGTTCTCCAACTCCTTCTCCTGTATGCTATATGTACGATCACTTTCATCAGATAACTTTCCTCAGTGTTAGACTGCTATTTTACTTCTACTTTACTTCCATATGATACACCATCACCATCCATCCATATGTAACATCACATACATCAATAATAAAAACCAGATCCTTAGTGTTTTCTTATTGTTGTTTTAACCCGCTGGAAACTACTTGTGAAGTTTTTTTCGGAGGTGTCAAACGGCACTTGGTTGTTGCTGGCAACGAGTGTCTCTGGGACATAGACCCGGTCATTCTTGGAACCATCCTTAGTATGTCATTCAATTTTCTTAACTTCTACTTTCACATGATATAAATGAAATGCATTCTAACTCCTACTTATATTATATATGGTATGTATACGAAAAATTTCATCATTAATAAATACCAGAGCCTCAGTGTGGAATTCAGTTTGCTTAACTTTTACTTACATTTCACATATATGGATCGTCTGTTAACTTCTAACTTCTACTTTTGTATGGTGTATATACCATCACTATCATTATTAATAATAACCCAAGCCTCAATAAATTATGCAGTGCTTGTTCAAAATTAAATAAAAAGAAATTAGATAGAAAATCAAAGGAATTGTATCCAGAGGGATAAAACGGCGCAGAGGGAAAAGAAAGAGAATTATATTAGAAAGGTTACCAAGACCATCACAATTTAAAATACTTTTTTGGTACTTACAACCTAAAACGCTCCAAGGATTACATAGAACAAACAAAGAACCGGTCAATCTAGATTTAATAATCACCTAACAAAATTAAGAATACAATTAAACTCAGACTGCAGATACTATAAAGCAGAGAGAGAAAACACATAGTGTGTGCTAAGGGAATCCCCGGCATTGATGCAGAAGCGGGAAAAACACCTAGAATGGTATTTCATAGAACATAGGGATTCAAGATTAGGAAAGATAGGCCCTATGCTTTCTTTCAATAAAACAATCGGACTTGGAGAAACTCTGATTAATCCGATTAAGAGGCACCATAGATCCTATATGTCGCAGTGTTACTATCCCTTTTTCATAATTTTAAAAAGAAAAATAATAGAAAATATTTTAAAATATCTCGTTAATAGCAATGTATTTTATTGCTATTTTGTTTAAGTTAAATGGTTAGTTAACAATTTAATTTAGAATTGGTTGTACTGAACCTTTATTGATGACAAAAAAATTATTAAATTTTCACTGCCGATTTCAGAGTCGTAACTTAATTCTCAGTACAGACTTAAGTCACCAAAATTTAGGTATAACTTAAGTCAGAGCCACCTTAAGTACATATTTGCAAAAGTGATTGGATATTACACTACTAGAGTCTATTGAAAAAAATCTATGCTTTCTTGAGTAAAGCAAAAAAGGAAAGATGCTGTGTGGTAGCAGGGTCAGAAATGGGAACTTTTTTGAAATAAGGAAGTTTTTTCTTTTGTTTGAATATTTTGAAAGGGAAACGTAATATAACTTAAACATAAAAAAATTCAGCAGATCTGGCTGTCAATATAAACTATATTGCTGATCAAAAATATTATAATGTTGACATTTAGTAATTTTTAACCAACTTCTATTGGAATATAATCTATGTTATGTTAGTAAGGTTGATAGCCACAATAATTTTTATGTATTCTTGAGCCCCGAAGACCTTATTCGATCTTTAAAACAAAAACTTCAATCAATACAGAGCTAATACTGATGTAAGTACAATGACGTGAACAACCCTAATATCACAGATTACAATGTTTCTTTGAAAGGATAACAACAAGATTCAAAGCTTTCCTACTCTATACCATTTACTACATTAACTTTATTAGTTTAACTACATATTTGTATATTATATAAAAATTTATTTGTTTCATAAACCACTCATCAGTCGAATGAATCTAAAAAAGTTATGAAAACTAAACAAATTATTCAAAAAAACCTAAAAATGTGAAGTACAATCCAATAACAGTGGCACAGTGAATATTAGTATTCCAACCCAATTGAACTTATTAGAGATGGTGAGATTTCCTTCACTTATTTCACCATATCGTTTTTTAATCTCATCACCTTATTCCATTTATTTTGAACTCCAATCATTTATCATTGGGAATAGGAATGAACGGGGTACTAACTCCCAATGGAACGGAGCACTGCGAACAGATTGATCTTTTGTGCTGCAATCATTTATACTTACTCAAATTGTAATTTAAATAGTAGTACTTTTCAACTGGTTATTACAATATGTAAAATGTAAGTAGCCTCTTTTTTAATATTAAAAAGAAGAATGGTAGAGTGAGCCTTGATATATCTTTTGGCTCAGGATAATAGGTCTGTCATTGTGTAGTGACTTGTGGTGATCTATATGACAATTAACATAAAAGGAATTATAAATACGAATACATGGGTTACGATATTTGGGGGAGTGTGGCAGGGGAGGAAATTATTTGGAAAGAAGAGTCAAGAATTATGATAATAATTGAAGCTAACATGGTCAAATTGGATGACAAAACTAATTCTATTCAATGAGAGCTCTACGGAGTAACTGAACTTTATACGGCAAAATAGACACACCATCACCACAAAAATATATGAAGTAAAGTATGCTACAAATTTTATAGCGGCCTTTCCGACTTTTTATAATGGTTTCAATATCCCAATTGAACCTATAATAACTAATTTATATAGTTCTTTATATAACTGGTTCATATCTTTATATATATGCTAAGAAATTATTATTAGCTTAACATTTAATTATTTCAAAGGCATTAAGTACTTGCTTTTTATGAGAAACTATTAGACAGTAATGAAAATAAATCAATTAAAAATAATTAACATTTGTAAAAGCAATATTGTTTACTGAATTAAGTTATGTGTGCATTAAATACAAAATTCTGAAATATAGTTTGAAACTCTAACTTAAGAAATAAATAAATAAAAAATTTATAAAATAAAAAGTCATTAAATAGCAACTGTTTTAAGACAAATATATAAGTATATTATTTTGCAAATTTTAAGGGGCGTATTTCCATATATTTATCTACTAATTCTTCAGTCACCAATTTTCTAGCTGCTTGATGTCTTTCCACAATCGGTGTTATAGTCTAAAAATAAAAAAGTAACATAATTATAAATTTATTTTGAAAGACAATTAATTATAAAGTATTAAATATATATACCTCAATCGCTAGTTTCTTCAATTCTCCCGTCAACAGTTCACCTTTACTATAAGAAACACGTACTTGCTCCAATTGAACGTCATCTTCCAAAAAGAATTTAAGTAATTGGAACGCAACATCAATATCAGGATTACCACCATAAGTACGATGCTCTTCAATAGTAGTACGACCACCAGAGAATGCGTACTTATTAATTTTATTCTTGATTTGTTTTGGTGTGTCTATCAAGAATATAGCGGAATTTTGTTCACTGCCAGACATTTTCGACTTAGCACCTTGTAGTGCTGGGAAGAAACTCGAATGCAACAGTGCACATTTTGGGTAACCGAGTCGTGGTGCAACATCACGCGTCATACGAAAATATGGATCCTGATCAATGGCGCATGGTATAAGGCAATGCACTTTATTTTTTCCAAAAATAAATGGGAATGTGCTGGATAATGCTGGTGCGGCTTGTACTGCTGGAAATCCAATTTTACCAATAATATCAGAATCGCCAAAACCAAATATTCCTTTAACTTGATTGAAAGTCACACACTTCTGTACACGTATAACATTTTGATAAAGCGCTGGACATGATCTGAAATTTTGAAAGTGTTGGAAATCGATTAATTTCTAATAATTTATTTAAATAAATTTAATTTAAATAATTTAATTGAATAAATTTAATTTAATTGACTTTCCGTCCGAACGTGAGAACATTCGCTTTCGGCTTTCGATAATTTTGAGTCCCCATTAAAACAAAGAGGGGACTCAAAATCCTAATACTTCATAAATCCTAATACCTCACTCATTTAGATCACATCAATCGTTCTCATTTTAATTTTAGCTTTTAAATATACTGCTTATGAACTTAAGCATTTACGTATTTCATCATGCAAACTATTAAAATTACTGTGAAATTTCACAATGAGTCATAAAAATGTGTAATACATAAAAAAACATTAAATAATTGCATAATAAAACACTTAAAGATTTCATGTTAAATTAGATTATAATAAGAGCATTTAAGCAATCTGGAGCAGCATAGATCTACACAAATCAGATTCCACACAAATGATTTTTCTTAGTTTTGCAACTACTTGCTAAATTATTGATATTTGGATAACGTTTCTTATTTATAAGAGACCTCAAATTGTCAGACATATATTAAAGTAAAAATAATTTTGATCTTTACCTACAGTTCCTAATGAATATACATGGTATATATACTCCCTCTTCATAACAGAACTTAATCCTACTTATATTGTAAAGTATTTTACAAAATACAACAATTCTGATATTATTGTTCTTGTAGCCTGTAAGGATCTGTTCTTTTGGGTGTCCTGAACGACGCAGTCGTCGAACAAGTGGTTCCGGGATGTAAACCCGACAATTCTTATATGACTTTGGTGTGTGGTCAGTATATGATTACATACTTCACAACATTAATAATTAATGTAGAAGAGACATTGTTCAGAAACTTATTATACATAAAATACTCACAAAAAATTAAAGTAATTATTAAATATTAAGACTACTCACCCCATGAAATTTAAATTATTGAATATAAAGGTTTTATCAAGATCAAAACCCATAGCAATAATATCTTTAGCGTTTTCGCGCGATAATTTTATAGCGGCCTCCACTGTCAGATCTTTCCACAAAGTCTTTTCGTCATCAGTTAATTGAATAACTAAAGGAACATCGAATGTTTCTTGCAACCATCTATGAATGGTAGATATAAAGAGAGCCTATATATATCAATTTCATAATTTTCAAACTAACTTAACTCACTTGCTCATAATAAATGGTATCAAATGACCTAAATGTAGTGATTCAGAACTTGGCCCTCGTCCCGTATACATATAAAAAGGTTTGCCCTGTTCTTTAAGTGTTAGAATTGAGTGCAAATCTCTATGCGAAAAAAAAATGCCACGCTTGATAAAATGATGTGCTGGCTTGCCTGTTATCTTTTCGAAACGTGCAATCAATTCTTCGTCGATTTTGCTAGACCCAAATCGCTCTATACATGCAAAAAAAAAAAAAATATTAGTAATATTTGCAAATTTGCATTAAGAAATAATTACTTATAAGTTTATCATAATCGACACCAGCATCAGTCGAACTGGTTACACTCCATGGATTAACTATGTCATCATCTTGCACCACAACTTCAACTCCAGTAGCTACCATATCGTCCCCAGATCCGTCTTTGCCATTAGTCAGCGTTAGAGCTTCAACTCCCTCCGTTACGACTTCGTTTGCAGACATTTTTCAAATACTTTCTAATTGTTTTAAGCAATTAGTCAAATACTAACAAACACAGAACTGCACGTGTGTAGTCGACGAAGATAAAAAGAACTGGCTAACGAAATTGTTTTTTTTTTTTGGCATAGCAAAACAGAATAAACAAGTAACAAAAAACAGCTGATAGGCGGCAAATTTTACAGGGTGTCATATAGATTATAATTCTTTTGCTGTTCATTATTAATAATAACTTTTTATATAAAAAATATTTATTATAAAGATTCTATATTAATGTATCAGGATGTATCAGGATAGATCGCTTGAAGTCACTAATTGACAAATTGGCATCACTGTTGCCATCTGTCAAAAGTCATATCCTCGCAAAAAGTAGAACTTGCATATATACACATAATGCCTGCAAACTATATTTTGTATAAAAAAAAATAATTAATATAAAATTGAAAATTAAAATGAATAATGAATTAAAAGCAATGTTAAGTATGCAGGGAATTTTGAAATATATTGTCATAACCAAATTAATAATAGTTTAGATTATTCAAGCCTGATTAAGTATTAACTTGTTAACAATAAATAAAAGAATTTAAAGTGTTTTTCACTTATAGCACATTCACAATAGCACAATGAGAATGATTTACCATACAAAAATCTTTTATATAAATTAGTTCATTATTAATAAATCAACTCATTTAAGGCGAAAATTGTGGAATATAACCTTTAAAAATATATTTCCTACAAGGGCAATTACCAAAAGTTGACATGTCATATATTTCATATGTAAAATATAACCAAACAACAGGTGACTGTAAACAAAGACACAAAGGTAGTAAGTATTTAATAATATCTTTGTTTTTAATAATTAACTATGTAATTGATATATAAAATGTATATAAATGATTTAATATATTAATTATATATTTAATTTTATTATGTGATGTATTATTAAGTACGTATGCGAGTTAGGCTAAGTTGCGTTTTAAATGAGGGAAATTCTAAGTTGTGCCGATAATGTAGTGATGTGTCGATACGTGTTGATAAATGGCTAAATGTGTGCAGAGCAAAAAATCCCAAAAAATCTTCCATACGGTTTAGCATGGGAGCATCAACTTAGGTTAATTAAAGTTTATGAAACCCTTCAATAAACATTAATAAGTTCAACTGTGCGTCATTGATTTCATGGCGAAACATATTGTCATTACATTGTGAATATCCAAACTTCTGGCTGGCAATTGAAACAGTATTTTGCTTTGTTATTTTGTAAACAAGACTTTTATTAAATTATTTAAGTTATATTTTTCATAAAATGCCGGTTATGTATAATACAGGCGACTGGTTCGTATTAAGACCAGATACATATAGGTAATAATTTAGACATTTAAATATACTTATGAAATGCAGTTTAAATACGCCCATAATCTTTCAGAAAATTGGATTTGCACACTCCCGACTGGCCATGGGGTATGGAATTGGATTACATGCAAGTATTTGGTGCACCATTTGGTGGCCCAATTGCAGCTATAAGAGATCCAACACAAATTGTACCAGTTAAAGGCAGTGCAAAACCAATTATACGTTTATTTAATACAGCTGGAGAAGAGCTGGGCAATATATCGGTAAGGCATAATTTATTTTTATTTATGTAAAAATTGATTGAATCAAAATTACAAAATGCAATTTAATTATAAATTAAAATCTAACAAAAAAAAATTTTTTTAGTGGAACCACGGCAAACTAATAACAATGGGTTGGTCTGACACTGAGGAATTAATATGCGTGCAAGATGATGCACTTGTTTTTATATACGATATGTTTGGTAGAGAAAAGGAGTCATATAGCATGGGTCAAGAAGCTAGCATAACAAAGGTAAACTGAATTCAACTAAATAATGCACTTTAATAAAAAAAAACAATTAATTTCAGATAGTGGATGCGAAAATATTCCAATCCTCGTCTGGTACTGGTATTGCAGTAATGACAACTAGTGGTCGCATTTTTGTAAAATTAAGTAATACTAAAGATTTTCGCACAAGACAATTGCCTGAAATTCCCAGTACGTTTTAGAGTATTTTAAGCCATAAATTGTATATTTAAATCCTCTACTCATATTATATAGAATCTCCATCCGATTGCACTTGTTGGGCAATTGTAACTGAAGATCGTAATAGTTACTGTTTGTTAGGGCGCGATAACGAAGTTATACGTCTATTTCCGGGCGAAGCAGTTGGAACTATTACACGTAATCTTTTCGATAAACCATTCGATCGTTTATTACTAATGTCCACATCATATGACAATCAAAATTTGGCTTTATATACCAATACTGGACTGTTGTGGTTAGGTTCTGTGGATATGAAAAAGAAGTTTTGTGAATTTGATACTGGACGTAAGGATATACCACGACAAATCGAATGGATTATGAATACTGAAAGTAATGCTGCTGATGCTGTAGCGATTTCATATTCCTCTTTTTTGCTTGTGGTCAATCGTAATGGTGATAAGAATCTCTTCACTTATGATCCAGCAATATTTTTAATACCTGAAATGGATGGTGTACGTATACTAACCAATAGTGCACATGAAATGATACAACAATTGCCAAAATGTGTGCAGAATATATTTGCTATTAATAGTCAAGAACCATCAAGTTTTCTTTTTGAAGCACAAAAGAAATTTCAAGAGAAATCTCACCAATCCGATGAGTATATAAGTTTGTTCCGTGACAAAATGGATGTAGCAGTTAATGAATGCATTGAAGCTGCTGCTTACGAATTCTGCACAGAAACGCAAAAGAGTTTATTAAGAGTAAGTTTTGTAAAATAATTTATTATTTATTAATAATAAATAATTTATTTTAGTCTGCTTATTTTGGTAAAGGATTTATTCCCTCACATAATCCAGAAGAATACATGCGAATATTACGCATATTGCGTGTGCTTAATGCATTGCGACATCCGAAAATAGCAATGCCACTTACTTTTAAGCAGTAAGTTACTTCGCTATTAACAATTCTATATAATTTTTTATAACTGTTAGGAAAAATGTAAATTAATAATAGTTAGTATTATTAATGTAAATTGTTATGAAATTGTTTTACAGTCTTTGCTAATTCAATAACAAAACACTTTAATCTATAAGGAGACGTCGAAGAATTACTTGTATATATGTATATGTATATTTATTATTAATGTATTATTATCATTTAATAAGATAAAAATTGTTTTTGTTAATTCTATATAAATTAATATAATTATATCATTTGTATAAGTATATAGTATTTTTAGTAAAATTTAATATTATTTTTAGATTTTTACATTTGAAACCCGAGGTTATCTTGGGCAGACTTGTGTTTCGTAAACATTATGCAGTTGCTATACAAGTAGCGAAACACTTAAAACTACCTGAATCGTGGATACTAGAACACTGGGCTTATCATAAAGTTATGAATGATAAAAGTAAATTTATATACATATAATTTCTTCTTATTAAACAAAATAAAAATTTCTCTAATTATTTTAGATGATAATGAGGTGGCGCGTAAAATTATTGAAAAGTTTAAAAATCCCTCCATCGAAGGCATATCATTTTGTAATATTGCCGAGAAAGCACATGCTGTTAAACGCGATGAATTGGCTATAAAGGTGCATTTAATTCATTCCTAAATGTATATAATATCTTCTAAATAAATTAATAATTTTTATATAAATAATTAGCTTTTAGAGTTGGAACCTCGTGCGTCTCTGCAAGTTCCTTTGCTACTAAAATTGGGAAAATATGATCGTGCAGTACAGAGCGCAACACAGTCCAGTGATACAGAATTAATTACTACTGTTTTATTAGAAATTAAAAAGAAAATAATGCTTGACAATTTTCATGTAAGAATAAATTAGGTATTACATTAACTTTAAAAATTATAAATATTTAATTTTAGATGATTATCAGAGAATATCCTGTGGCATTAAATATTTATAAAAAAATCATGAGCCAATCTAGTCGTATTGCACTTTATGAAATTTACAATTCGGAAGATGATCAGAAATCTATAGCAGAATATCATTTTGCTAATGCCTTGGAAAGTGATACCTTAGAATCCCATTTACCAGCAATCACGAATAGCTATACGCAGGCTAGAAAAAATGTTGAAGCTGAATTATGTTCTGAGACTGGCAAAATAATGAAACTGCAAAAAGTTTTGACAAAAAAGTGAGCTTAGCTAATGTATATTAAACTTTATATATAATTTAATAAAATTATTTCTTTCTTAAGATATGGTACTTTACATGGACAAGTAGGTTTTTACAGTATGTCAATACATGACACTGCATTGCAATTACTGCAAATGGGTGAATTGAAGGAAGCTGAAAAAATCAAAAGTGATTTCAAAATTCCAGATCGTAGGTAATGTATAGAAAATTAAACGAATCTATTTTCGACTATACATAGATTAATTTTTGAATTATCTTTTAATTTTAAAATCAAGATTGCTTATTTTTAGATAATTTTTTACTTAATATTATAGTATTTAGTGGCAAGTCATTATTATATCTTTGAATATACAAGCGAATACTATTAATTCGTAGTACAAAAATAAATCAACACATAAAATAATAAACCGAAAGTATCAACTACTACAAGTTTTAAGCAAAATTTACTTATATTATTAAAAAAATCTTTACAAAAATATAATGTATAAAATTCAAGAATACTATCACCAACCATATAGTGAGCGTTTATTCTGCCAAGAGAGATGCAATTCTTACATTATCTAACCATCATACTAGTATAGTTAACAAAACGTAAATAGAATGAGTGTGTACTCAACATCTTTGATTTTTATCCGGGTACTGATCTCATTAAAAGAAGCCAAAAATCACAACCAAAATTATTTTTCAAGATTACCAGACCATAAATATAAACCTACGATTGACTACGAATCAAAACAAACAATTTCAAGCTACAAGTTATCAAGAACGAAGAACCTTATGAATAAAATAAGCAGCAAAACTCTTGGAGTTCTAGGTATCCGTGCCGAAAAATAAGGCAGAACTGCGAAAGCTATAGGAAAGAAAAAAAAAAGAACCAAAAATTATGACATTTCACTTTGAAAGATTTGGAACCAATGAATTTGTTAAATACCATACTCTAAAGAAAATCTTCAAAAATAATGTTCTGGGATTTCACCAAGTATTATGATTAGAATTGAAAAAAAAAGTATATAATATATAGACTTGACATTAGTTAGTAATTATTGAAAATTCAATATACATTTATATAATTACTTATTTAATAAAATATAATCAATATTATTTATAACTTACAACCAGATGGTGGTGGCTGCGGATACAAACATTATCAGAAAAATTCAAATGGGAAGATTTAGAAAAGTTTGCTAAGAGCAAGAAAAGTCCCATAGGCTATGAACCTTTTGTTAAAGTATGTCTTGCACAAAACAACTTGCACGAAGCCCGTAAATATATATTAAGATGTCGAGATGATCGTAAAGTGCATTGCTATATACGTGCTGAGTAAGATTTATTTAATATTTTATTAACAAAAAAAAAAGAAAAACATTAAAAATATATATATTTCAGATTATATGAGGAAGCCTCTGAAGCGGCTTTTGAACAACGTGATCTCAACTCTTTATATGTTATACAACAGAAAGCAAATTCAACGGGCAATCGAATGTTGCTTGAGAAGATTAGTGCGCAAATTGCAATATTATCATCAAAAAAATAATTAAAAATTCGTATAAAGCATTCCAATATATATTAGAAAAAGAGATTAAATGAGAAAAGAATTATTGTGAATTATATTAAAAATAATATTTATACCAAATATATACATATATATACTGTACCTTGCAAATATAACGTTTTTAAATATAATCCTTTTGGGATAGCATGAAATAAAATAGATACAAAACTTTCAGTAAAGCAAAGTTTAACATACTTATAAGATCTTTCGAATCACATATAGTATTCATGACGAGGTTTAAAACAATAATAGGATTATGGAACAGTACAGATTTAAAAAAAAATTTTTATTCCAACTAGTATTTAGAAAATAAAAAATAGATTATTGTTACCTATCATCTTAAATAGATAAGAATATATGTATTTGGAGCAGTTTATCATATCAGAGATAATCACCTTACTTTCTCAGGCAAGTTGAAAAGAGAGCATACCTCATTCAGCATCAAGACACCAGTCTGTGATAGTAGTTAGAAACTAAACCTTTAGTAACTAGTTGTTATGACTTTTTAAAATTAGAATAAATTTTATTGGCTTCTATTTCGTTAGATATCAAATTATTGTCATGCAAGAAGAAATTTTTTGAATACCGGTATGTTAGAAAAATGATTAGTAATCAGAATGATGAATTTAAAAATTTAACTATGTAATTAAGTGCTATGCGATAGCAAGCGGCAAAATGTGAAATCATACTCAACCAAAGTCGCCCGTGCAAAGGCAAAGGCATTTGACACAGTTTCCCATATGCCTGATTCAACAGAACGATAAATCCTAAACTACCTTATAGACAGATCACCTTTCGTTGATTTTAGAGAAAGGGTATCAAAAGCCAAGAAATTGAAACATGGTCTCCTTCAGGGGAGTGTTCTTTTACCGATACTACTCAATCTTCACATGTAGAAACTCCCAAATCTCACCCCACCGAGGGAGTTAGAATCATATCGTGTGCTGACGATTGCAGCTACAGAGCGGGATCGTTCTTGGGTATACAATAAGATATATGCAAACTTCTCTTATGCGGCCTCATTTTTAAGTGATAAAAATCTTCACGTTACACCAATAAAATCTTCCGCCACCCTCTTTACTTCCTGATTTAAAGAGGTGTCCTGGACTCTGCGCATCAATATCGATGAATTCCAGATCCCTACTATCACCAAACCAAAAACTCCGGATCTCGTATTCGACAGCATGTTGACCTTTTCTATACATTCTACAAGGATGTGCAGTCGCCAATAATATCGGAATATTGTGTTGAGATCCAGCGCAGGTTATGCATGGGGTAAAGATAAAGAACCTTTACTGGACACATACAAAACAATAAGACATCCGATTGCTCGCTATGCTACTCCATATAGGATCACACAACTCTGCGAAATGCAATGGCGTGTTTGGAAAACATGTCAGAACACGGTTTTGGGGCTTGCGACCGGTTGCTATCGTATGTCGTATATTTACCATCTTTATACAGAATCTAGAATACTTATTGTAAAAGCGAATAACCAACTGCTGTCAAAGCAATATATCCCTGCGTGCCACATAGATGGACATCTCAATGACATCACGTTTAATAAGCTCTTCCTCCAAGATGCATTCATCGATCCCTTTCTTTGCAATAGGATTTATCGAAACCTATGGCACTAAGAACATAAGTGAAGTCGAATATAAATCTAGACTCGCAGCCCTCCAGCACAGCTGCAGTAACCTCTTCGAGATTACGATTGCTTTGCAATAATATTCTTAATAGGCTTCCACTGAACATCTTCCAGGAAGAACTACATCTTGCAGTAGCAAGAGCTGTCCTAGCGCAATTGAAATCAAAATATTACCATGTACTAAATAGTTAATTGTCATGCATTAATGCTTTAACTCTATTCCCATGATGTCACCTATCTGCTTTACTCCCGCAACGCAGACAGAAACTTGAATCCGATTGACCTTTGGACCCGCTGCATTTCTCTAATCCATTGTAGCTCGTAAATAATCTGCTCTCTTATCATGCAACTAATACCTACTCACATCCTAACCCATGTACTAATCTTAATTTCTGTCATATTATCCGAGGGGGTTACAATAACAACAACAATGGAAGCTAAAATATTTATTTCTTGACTAAAACCGGAATATCACACGCTTGTCGTAACCAATTAAAACATTGTTTTTTATTTTTTAAAACACTTATTATTTATTTATTTATTTAATACGTACATTTAAAAGGACATACATATATTATTTATTTATTTTTAATCATATACACATACATATTTGTAGTAGATCACATTAAGCATAAAGATACATAATAAATATTTGACTAATTTCATTTTGTTTATTGTGTTTATTATGAATATATTGTAAAGATAATCATTTACAGTAAATTTTTTTTATTAGTTTTTGTATTATATATACTTGTATATTTATATATATATATGTATATATAATATTAATAGGACATACGAGTGCGTATGTACGATATTGTTACATATTTACGAACAAAACAGCAGTCTTATTTAAGATGAAATATAAATATATAAGTATATAACATATATTTAATTAAATTTATTATTATATTACGATTATACTATTAATGAATAATATTACTTATTATTTTTTTTATATTAATAATATTATTATTTAAATAATTATTACAAATTTTGTAAGAGTTTATGTTTTTGAAACGGAAACATATTTTTAATTATATTTGTTTTTACACAAAAATAAATTTATTTTTGTTATGTAGAAATTAATTTATATGTGTTTGCGGATATTGATTTTAAATGATTTTTGATTTTAAAAATTTTATTTTATTTATATTCAACATATATTTACAATATTTTTAAAAAATTAATAAATGAAGTGTGTCAGTTGCGAACTTACTTTAAGTCAATGTGAAATGATAATACTAATACAATTATTTTTTATTATTAACTAATTTTTAATTTATTTTTAAATAGATTAATAAAAATTAGTTCGAAAAAAAAATATTTTTCAATTTTTTTTAATTAGATTATATTAGTAAATTATTTGAACACATTAATTTAAGATTTTAATATTGGTTTTTTTCGAAAATATTTTGTTTTGAAAGCATATTATATATAATTTTAATTTTTTTCCAATTTAAAGTTAAAAATTTTTTTAAAACTCTTACAATGTAAAATTTTTTTATAAATATTGTTGAATGTTTCAATAGCTGTGAAATTCTTTATCCGATTGTTTAATATTTGATTGTTTAATTTTTAATCAATAAATTAAATAACATAATTAAAAACAAAATATAAAAAATGAAGGCTTCAAAGCCAATTGAAACTAATTTAAATTAAGAGAGACTTAAACAAAATTAAGAGGAATATAAATATGACTGTATGTTACCTGTAGTTTAGAGTTATTAGAAAACGAAGAAACTAATTATACGTAATATATATAATTACAATATTTTTTAAATTCACACTATATATTTAAAAAAATTGTTATTTAAAAAAATTTTTTAAATTTATAAATACTATTTAAATTCATTTATTTTCAAGATATAAAATGAAATAAAAATTATTTAATTATAAATATATCAGTTATTGCATTATAAATGTTTAATAAATAATATTGAAAACCACAAAAGAAAAATTTTTTTTGTATATAAATAATATTTTAGATTTTGCAGTACATATGTATATCTGAATAATTATATTACAAAGACAAAAACCTGTTTTATGTTATTTATTATTATAATAATTAGCAGACTTTTTGTAATAATTTTTATTTTGATTGTAATGAAATATAAAAACATGTATTTATTTTGTATATGTATTATGCTCATTTATTTTATTTTTTCTTTTATTTTATTATAATTAAAATTCAATCAATAAAAAAATTATTTTGATTATTGTTCTATTAGAAATTTACTTATCAATTTAAATTATAGTTTGTCTATATAAACACAAAAGTATTGAAATATATTTTAGGTATAATTTTTTTCAATTGTAGTAGATATTTTGTTGAAAATCGTTATATAAATTGATTTAAAAATAATAATATATTATTTTAGGTAATATATTATATTATTGTACACATTTATTTTTAAATACATGAATTTAATAAGCGTCTATAGATGTTTTTATAATTTTTTATTTTTAATATCTTTAATTAAATTTTATGCCAATGTATATATAAACCACATTTAATAAAATATTTAACAATTGTAATTAAAATTGTTTAAACATTTATTGTTGTAATTGATATTCCATTAAAGATATCTAAACACCGAAGAAACCACATATATTTTATATGAAATTTATATTATTTTTTAAATATATGTACACTTATTTTTAAAAATGTTTACTTGAATTATTAATAAACAAAAACCAATTATTTTTTATATTATTATTTTTATTTAACAAAAAGTTTATTAATATTCCAATAAGTAAAGTTTTCAATTATTATGCACATTTAATGGAGTTAGTGGTAAAAGTTTTTTTTTTTTAAATTATATCAAAAATTTTGCAGATATAATTATTTTTTACAATTATATAATGCTGTAATATTTTTAATTATTATATATATCCATCTATATTTCTAACAAACCATAGTTTTATTCATTTTTATTCGGCATTAAATTTTCTTTATTAATATTATTTTAATATTAATTTCAAATTTTTTTTATTAATTATTGAATTAAAGAAATTGAATTGTTTATATATTTAAATTTCAAATTAAATTAAAATTATTTTTGTATATATTTTATACATTTTTTTTAATTCTAATGGTACAAAAATTATTATGAGTTTAAATAATTTATATTTAAAATAAACCACCTAAAAAGATAATTAAATTAATTGCAAAATGTCAGGTTCAATACAATCAAAATAAATTATTTGAACTTTTTTTTAACATAAACCTTTTTAAAAAAAGTAATAAAATTATTTTTTTTATTTAAAAATAATAAAATTATTTTTTTTTGATAGCTAATATACGCTTATGGTTTAATTATTTTATTATTATTATTATTATTATTATTATTATTATTATTATTATTATTATTATTATTATTATTATTATTATATATATATTATTATTAGGATTCTTATTA